AAAGAGCGAGCAAACTAGCATAGCAAAGATAGTAGTGATTTCGAGGGTATGATCATCTTGCCTGAGATCCCGCAAGGAAGAAGAACGAATCCAAGAAGAAGACAAACGGTCGTAGACGAACAAATCCTCACAACTCCGGAACGAAACCGAAGCTAACGAGAGAAGCAACCTGGAAAGAAACAAACAACATAGTAAACACACAAGCATAAACAAGTCATGATGCACAAACAAGTATGATGCATGTCCGATTTAATGAGGCATGGCATGGCAAAGTGCAACAAACAATACTACAAGTTAAGTGGAGCTCGATATGCAACGAGGTGCATGTTGACGGAACACCACATCAATTATTTAGTTATCTCTCGTTTAAGCTACCCAACAATATTAACTGTTGTTAAACATGGCAAGGGGTGAAACATAATATAAACTATACCATCTAAACAATTTAAATGGGGCCGGATATAAAAACAACAAATTCGGTAAATCCCCATATGCATTTAGCAATTTAATGCAACAACAAGTTTAAACATTTTAAATGTTGTTTATCATGATGCGGATGACATATACAAGTTTTATGCAATTTTATGAAAATGTTGACATGAGCATGTTATGAAGCATTTGGTCACCATGGCGGAACAAAAAGGGTGCCACGGCGGCGAAACAAAAAAAAATGGTGCCACGGCAACATATCCGAAAATGATGCCACGGCAACATATCCGAAAGTGATGCCACGGCAACATATCGGTTCCGGTAGCTCACGGAGATACCGGTGCAAAAGGAGGCGTGCGGATGCGTGCATGGATGGTGGGGTGATCCCGGATTCCGGGTGTCCCACATAATGGTGGCATGGCTTACGGCGAACGTGCAAGGAACAATTCGGACATGGTGCAAACACGGGCATCTCATACAACGTGCATTCGGTCCACGGCGGTCGTTTCGGGTTATACCTTCGAAGCGTTCAAACGAGACGGTTCGCATTCGGAGCGGTGTAGAGGAAGTAGGCGTTCACGGGACGTCGTCGGAAGTAGTTGTTCACGTGGCGACGGTAGTGGAAGTAGTGGTACACGGCGGCGGCGGTAGTTGTTCAGGGTCTTGGCGGGTCGTCGTGTAGCCGTACATGTTAGTCGTGGTACTTGCGGTCTCGGCGATGGTAGTCGTTCACGTGTCGTAGTCGATGTAGTTGAACTTGACGAAACTCTCAGCAACAGTAGTGGTGCCTATCGTAGTGGAACTTGGCGCATCCAACATCTTCGGGCGTAGAGGTACTTGCAAAAACCGAGATGGTCTTGACGATCCAGCGAGACGACGTGGTTCGGGGCGGTCTCGGTCTTGGCGTCCGTGCGGTAGCCGCGAGCTCATGGCCTACAGCAGCAGCAAGGGGCGGAACGGGTCGGAGACGCCGTGCGCTGATGGTGGTGGCGCAGGGGCTTCACGCGAACAGGGCCACGACGATGCTGATGGGGAGGTGTGAAGGAGGCAGGGTGCTGGCGAAGGAGGGAGCAGGGGCGATGCTTGGGGCTCGGGGTGGCGCTCGGCAAAAGGAGCAGCTCCGGCGATGGCTGCGGGGTGGAGGAGGCGCGACGGGACGGCTCGGGCAGCGGGATCAGGCGCTGGAGGCGCAGGCGACGGAGAGCCGCCGGAGTTGGCTGCACCGATGGGGTCACCGGCGTGGCTTGGAGAGGAAGAGGGACTGGCCGGCGGCGTGGCTCGAGCGAGAGGCTCTCGCTCCTCTCTGGCGGCAGAGGGAGGAAGCAGCAGCGACGAGGCTCGAGGAGCTGCTCTCCTTGAGCGCTCGGGCGACGGGGCGGCTGGCGCCGGTGGAGGGAGGAGGCGGCTAGGGGAAAGGGAGAGGGGTCGTGCAAGGAGGGCCATGGCTGCGGGCACGGGAACGAGAGGGAGATGGGGATCGAGAGGAGGGATGCGGGAGGATCGGGAACGGGCGCAGGAGAGGGCGATGGGGTCGAGCGATGCGACGCTGGAGGGAGGACGAGGGGAGAGATGAGGGTCGTGCTAGGGGGGCTAGGGTTCGGTCGGTGGGGCTGGGCCTTGGGAGCAAATGGGCCGGCCTGGTTTGTGGGCTGATGGGCAACCAGAGAAAAGAAGTGAAAAAAAGGAGAGTTGTTTGGACCGGGAAAAAGAAAAGGTTTGAATTTATTTCGAATGGTATGGACTAGGATAACATTTTGGAAGAGTCCAAAAATGTTAAGAATTTAGGAGGATCCTCGATAAAAGAGGTAAGAATCGTTGGCAAAGTTTGGGGACCAAACTTGAAGTAGAAAGGCCATGGGAATTTTGCAAGTGTGTTACGGTTAATTCCAATCTAATGGAATATTTAATATAGCTCCCTAATATTGGAGGATATGTTATAAAGAGAAGTCACCATGTGAGTCCCTCGATTTAAATGGATCGAAAAATCCATACAATTTATTTAGTTGAGGTTTTAAAAATTAATGATATGATGGCATGATGACATGATGCAATGCACATGATGCAAGGATGAATGCAACAAATAAAACAAATCACACGACGAAACTCGGAATAGCTGGAAGTCTTCTGGAGCGTCGGTCTCGGGGCGTTACAGTTATTTACTTCTCTGGGTACCATACATTGGAAAAGTGAATCAAGAACCTGAATCTCCTTCCTTCTGGGGTTTACGACCACAAGGAACCAGTGGACGTTTAAACTGTTCGTAGGTAGGAAAACCTGGAGTGCACAGATAATTAGATCAACGTGCATAGTAATAAAAAATCTATTCTACGCCAGGTTAAAATACCATATCATGTTTCAAGTAGGTGGTGCCTTGTGTTGTTCCAGGAATGCCTGCCAAAGCGTCCTCGTAGCACTCCTCTATCCTACCATCTCTTTCGAGCTTAGCGACACCGGCCACCCTCTCAATGTAAACCAGTTGGCCGTCCCTTGTGTCAATTGGTTCATCATGACGCATGAGCTGGATCGCAATATCAACCACCTACAACAATAATCAAGTTAATTGTATTGTACAAAACTGAAACTTCATAAACTAATTTGTGAAATACTATCTTACTTCGTCACCCAACCATACGCCATCTTCATTTTCATCTTTATGGGTGAGGCATTGCAAATGCTTTGATAGCACAACAATGTCATCAACTAAGACCATTTGTTTTTCACGATTTGTAGTGTTGATCAGTGACGCCACGAAATCCGGTCGAACCACGTCTAGCTGGTCCCTCTGGGTTACAGGAGCTTCTGACCTTTTTTTAAGTTGCTAGAGCCGATTTTCCTCTTTTTATTGTTCGTGTCCTCCGAATCATTTGTACACTCTGATGGAGTCTTGTTTTTCCTTTTTTTTTCTTCTCAGTATCGTACGAAGCATACTCATCATTCTTAAATAATTGCAATACCATCCTTTTCTTTTCACCCCCATGACTTGGTGGCGTCGATTCAACCACACTTACTTGTTGCTGCTTTCGAAAGGATTCATCATGGCTGTCATCATCTGTGAAGGCATGGAGCTCTTTAGGATCTCGCAATCCCATAGCCTTCACAGAGTGCTGCTTACCCCGTCTGTTGAACGGATTCTGTCATACGAAATAAACCGCGGGTTAGCCTTTAGAAGATTCTTGCTCAATTATAGGTAAAATGTGCATCACCTGGAAATCTTCAAGGCTTGTGGTGGCTTTGGAATGCATTTGCTTATCAAAACTAGAAGCTCCCTGGATATCATCCACCTCTTTCAAAAGCTTATGAACACCACTGAGATCCTGTTTGATTTTTACAACAGCTCTTTCGAATGCTTCATCCTGTACGTGGAAGATCACATGTTATTTCTGAAATGACATTGATTATTTCATAATTATTTAGCATGCATGCGTACGTCAGAATCTTCATCAAGGTTCTTCATGGGGGGCTCCATGTCATCATTTTTATTCCCTGCTTACAATCGTGCTTAGCAGCGACCTCCGTGACATCCTTTTGTTTCCCCTGGTCAGAAGCCTGCTCAGCATTCTCAACAGAGGCCTCCATTAGGTGTGAAGGTGCCCTGAGGTCAGATAGATGTATGTCCTCCACTCCTGGAAATATTTCATCGTGTTTTTTCTTTAAAAAAACATGTTAGTCTGGGGTGTTTTCATAGTAAACTAATTTAGAAAAAAAACTTGTACACGTAAATTTCCAATTATATATACTAATCTCATAATTCTAGGCTTACGTTCAATTCTTTGATGAGGTCCTTCGTGAGCTTGCCATTTGTACGGGTACGCCTAAGGCACTCATCCATTTTATTTTCAAGGGTGCACATCCTATCGACTTGTTCTGCACCGGCCTCCCGCACGAGGGAGGCAACTTCTTGCAAATCAGTCAATACACGTCTGACGAGTACCTTAATCTGAGACTTTGAAACAGTTACAATCATATAACTTCATACTAGTTGGAATGTTACAATATATATTTGTGCATGATGTAACTCATTTACCTGAGCGTCAGTCTTTGGTTTGGCCAGCATACCATCTCGTGCTAGAATGAAAGGCCTCATTAGGTCCTCAACATACTGTAGTTTAGTGTCATTAGTATGATTTAGAAAATATATATGTTACATAATTCAGACAATGTGCTGACATTTTACCTCTCCAACTCCCAGATAATTATTTTGGATTATATTGTTAACCTTTTTTGCCTTCTCCTCGTTCCAGTTCTGGATCAGTGGCCTTAATCTTGATTCATACGAGATGCTAGAGTCCAATTGGTGCACTCTGAACTTCTCGTAGTACCTTGTCTGCATGACAAGAAAAGCAGTTTACAAACATTCTCGTACATTATGTAATGTATGTTAGGTAACTGATAATTGTACTACTACGAATTACCTGCAGCAGTGGTAGATTCCCCTCCAGAATTGCCTCACCATATACAAAATTCTTTACGCTATCCATAAGATAGACAAGCGTTAGCTGTCCAAGATTTGTGCCCTTTATTGTCTCAACGTTTCTAACAATCCCAATATATTTGTTATCCACATACTCCTTTTATGTTTGGCATACATATTTGCCTATGGTGTACAAGACAAATTGCCTAACAAAGTTTGGTGTGCTATCGACTTTCATCTTGGCTAGCAATCCTTTGAAAGTTATTTTGGTGTCCTTACGATCTTTTAGTTTCTTCCACAACTCCATATTATCATCAAGATTTGAAGGGACGTGCTTCTTCCCATGGCAGGGCATGCCTGTTATATGCGCTACATTTTCCAGTGTGATCCTACATGGTATCCCATTGATGATAAAGGCATCCTGCTCTGCGTCATATGAATTAGCGTTGGCCAGGCACAATACACGTCTAATTTTGATGCTAGGTGTCTTGAGTAGTCCACTCAGTCCTATCAACTGGATGTACATCCTTTGCTGCATGTTTAATATATTTATGAACTCCTCATATGGCGGCAAAGAAGCATTCTGGGTTCAATAGATGTGCAAGTGTGATTAGATTCAGCACGGTATACAATTTAAACACTCATACAGATGAATACAACTTATATATACCAACATAAAAATTGTGCTCTACGCTACTGCATGAGGTACAAGCATGCTGAGTTGCATGCATGTGCAAATACTATCATGTGATTCAGCTTGGTTATGTTTGAACGGTAATATAAGGTAATCTCCATTGCAAGGCACTTATCTGAAATAAATAAAGATTGGAAAATAAAAAACTGTCCAATTGTGGTCTCCTCAACTCTAGGCGCTAATCATGGTCAGTAGTATGGAATTAAAACATGGGCCATTGTCGGGGGTTTGGTGTGACATATGCCAAAGGATGGCTAATCATGAGGGGGGCTAGTAGGACGTCGTCGGTGCTAGGAAACGGGATGAGGCGAAGACATGCACGCCGGCGAATCTTACCCAGGTTCGGGGATCTCCTAGGAGATAATACCCATAGTCCTGTCCTGCGGGGTCTCTGCATGATCACTAAGGCGCTAGCAAGTACAATGGTGCTCCTCGAGCTGTATGCTTGGGGTATAAGAAAGCAGGGCTAGCTCTCCTCTCTCTCTCTATGTGGTGTCTAGATCTAACTGGATTGGGAACCCTTTGCATGAGTGCCCTGGGGGTTTATATAGGCCTACCCCCAAGGGTACAATGGTAATACTGGCCGGGTGTAGGACCCGGCTGTCAGTGTCTCCTGTCGCTGGCTCCTTCGCCGCCCGCTGGGGCCCGCCGCCTGGGGAGCCTCGCTGGTTGGTATGGTACAGAGCCGACAGGCCGCCTGTGCCGCTTGCAGGTCCGGCCGACTACTTGTTACTGTAGCCGTAATGCTAATGATGCATGCTTGGTCGAGGGGGGCGTGGCTACAGTCTCGTCGTCTGGCGGGAGATCACTATAGCCACACCGTGTCTTGTCTGGTTAATGGCGCGTGGACTCCGAGGGAAGAGTGGGCCGCCTGCTAGAGGCTGGCCTCCCTTGGGTCCGATTGGTCAGGTGCCGCCGCCCTCCGGGCTCTCGCTTCCTGGTAGGCCCCGTCGCCTGTAGGCCATACCGACAGGCCGTCATGGGAACAGGGTTCCACCTGACAGGGGTGACGTCAAGGGTGGGATGGCAACAGTGCCGCGCCGTGTGGAGATCTCGGCTGGTACGGGACACTGTGGCCGCGCGCTGCCCTGGATATGGGGGTGATGGGCTATACTGTTGCCACATCATGTCTTGTCTTCTTCATGGGGGCGCAGACTTTGAGGGCGTTGTGGGCCGCCTGACAGGAGCCGGCCTCTTGGGAGGCCGCCTGCTGGGAGGCGGCTTGACTTGGGGCCGTCTTCTGGTGTTTGGCCGTCCTCTGGCAGCCGGCCTCTTGAGCCAGCCGACCACCAGAAGGTGGCGCTTCGTCCTCGACGCTTGAGGGGCGCTGCCGGCCCGATGTCTTGAAATACTCAGGGACTCAGGTTAGGCTACCCGTGGCCCATTACTCCGACAGTAGTCCCCGGAGCTGGTGAGGTGTCGCGGCTGACAAGTCGAGGTGCCTCATCAGTTTCCTTCTCCGAGCGCTCTTGCTTCATCCGTCTTCTGATAGGCCACCCGCCGGGAGTCGGTCATGACTAGGAGGATTGGCCGGGTGACTTTGAATTGTCATGGCGGGAATCAGGTGGCATGCCTTCTAAGCTTCTACCCCACCGCCCGTTGCGAGCGCGCCACGCGGCGCCAGATATCCGGACCAGCCTGCCAGTCCACGCACGCGATGGGACGCGATAGCAGGCTAGGCCCGCTACGACTGGGCCTCGGCGCGCGGGTGTATCCACTGCTGCCGAGGCGGACCGTTGCGATTCCGCGCAGAGTTACTGTGTGTAGTAACTCACGCAATAATCATGGGGGCGTGGGGCGTGGGCGCAGTTAATCCCATGATCCCACGCCCCGCCCCCTCGACTTCGCAGCCGAGGGGCTATAAGTAGGGGGGAAGAGGGAGCGGCGGAGCACGCGCACCCTCCTTCCCTTTTCCATTTTCGACCTCCTCCTCTTCTTGCTGCCGCCGCACTGGTGCGCCCCGCTGAAGCGCTGCCGCAGCTCGTCGCCGTCAACCTCCTCCACGCCGGGCTTCTTGCTCCACCGTGGCGCCACTTCCCTGTTGTGCTCAGACTCCATGACGCGCGGGAAGGGAGGGGATTGGGATGGCTCGGTCGTCATCGACGACCACCTCGCCTTTCTTCGCGCCACACGGCGGCTGCCCAGCACGAACTACGTCAAGGTGCGCGTGCCGCCGGAGGCAGAGATCTCGCCGGCGCCGCAAGGAGGCGAGCGGGTTATCTTCCACTCGCACTTCCTTCGCGGATTCGGCCTACCGGCGAGCGGATTCTTCCGCTCCTTCCTCAACTTCTACCACCTCCAGCCGCATCATCTGACGCCCAACACCGTGACGCTGCTGTCCGCCTTCGTCACAATGTGCGAAGGCTACCTTGACATCCTCCCCACCATTGAGCTGTGCGGAGCATTCTTCTACACCATGCTGGGCACCTTCGCCGGGGAGAAGGCGGCCCAGTGCGGCGCCTTCGTCGCGGTGCGCCGCCCATCCGTGAAGAATGCCTTCCCCGCCATCAAGCTGTCACAGTCGGTCAAACTGTGGCAGAAATCGTACTTCTATGTGGAGAACGTCGACCCCGCCCTTGACTTCATCAACTTGCGGCCGTACAAAGCCGGACCTCCGGCTGAACCTCGGGCTAACTGGAGCTACAAGCCGAAGCTCTTGTCAGTCGACGCCACCGCCGCCATCAACCAACTCCAGGTGCTGACGGACGCGACATGCCTCAAGGCGTCCGACCTGTTGGTCGCCTTCGTCGAGCACCGGGTTCTCCTTCTCCAAGGCCGGCCTCATCTGATCTGTCGGATGAGCAGGCACCGGGACCCAAGCCGGACGTGTACGAGGGACATGCCGACGGCCGAGGTCGCCCGCATGGTGAACAAGGTCTCCGACCTCAAGTCGTCGGAGGAGTCTTGGTGGTCCGGCATGCGGCCATACTCCGGGGCCAACCCGGCGCCTCCTGTAAGTTCTTCAACTCTTTCCTTTTTAGTATTCGCTCTGGTTTTGGTCTTGCCGTCTTGAACAGTCGATCCCGTGCACACATATCTTCATGTCCTCGGCGACGGCCGCCGTCGTGGGGCCGGGTGGAGACTACCTGCCGGACCGGGAAGTGAGTGATGCAAACGACCCTGACTTGGGGGTGGCCGCCCTGGAGGACGACGCCATAGGCGGCGGCGACGGAGCTGGCGCCTCCGAAGACGTTGGAGGCATCGAGACCTGGCCCGATGACGACGACGACGAGGACGAGTCGCGCCATGCGCGAGGTGCCGGGAAGGCGGACTTGGGTCCTTCCGCCGAGTCGGCTGCTCAAGGCGGCACGCGCAAGCGCAAACAAGGGGCCGCCTTGTTCGACAGCGCGCCGAAGAAGACCAAGAACCCGACCGCCGCGACCAGGCGGAAGGAGGCCGTTGCGAAGGCGGCCAAGTTTCAGAAGCTTCCAAAATTGCCCCCTATGGTGTCGGCGTAAGTGTCTTTCCCTTGTGCCTTCCTTTCTTGTTGATTTTATCTGAGCTGTTCTGCTTTATTTCCTTGACTTAGGGCTCCGCTCTCTCTTAAGAAGTCAGCCGCCGCCTCCGTCATTGGGTCAGGGGAGACTTCTGCCACCACTCGGCGAATCGACCCCGCAGCCGACCTCCGGGAGGCGCAGGAACGAAACGCGCGAGAGGTGCATGAGGAGCGGGAAGCCGCTCGCAGGGAGCAGGCAGAGGCGGACAAGGCGGAGGCCGCCGCGCTGAAGAAACTGGCGGAGGCTGAGGCCGATGCCGCGGCGAAGAAGCGGGCCGAAGAAGCCGCGTACTGCCAAGCGCCATTGTTCGTCATGCCCCTGAACTCCGCGCCGCCGCTGACTGGGGGAGCCGGCGATGAACAGCTGGTCATGGAGAGGGGAGCTAGCGACGTCGCCATGCCGGAGGTAGCCGTGCCTTCACCGCCGCCGGTTGACAGATCGCGGGACAAGGAGCCGGCCACCCCGCCAGCACCACCAGCCGGAAATGAGGTGGTGACGGGCCCGACTCCTGAGGTCTGCACACAATCGCACCGCTGAGGCGTGAAAGCAACTTCGGCGCCACGACCGCTGGAAGCCGGTGCTGCAAGCTCATCAGCCCCGGATGCCGAAGCAACCAGCACCGCTCCCGCTGAATGGGTGCTTGGAGGCGGGACGGGCGCTTTGAACCAAGCGATCTTGGACGTCCATGTCAAACTCTAAGCTGAGGCCACCTCTCTTCAGCAGTGCAATAGGGCGTTCCTGAATTCGCGAGCGGCCATTCGGGGTATGTTTCTCACTTCTTTGTCTTTGATTCTTGTACTTCTCTGTGGGGGCACACTAGCGCACCCACTGGATGTAACCCCCAAGTTTCGGGCTGACAGCTTGAGCAGGCGGCCCGGAACTTTACTTGGCGGGCTCCTAGTGCTAACTTTTCTTCTATCTTCATTGCAGGACTATCATAATCTTTGCGCGGCCACCTTTAACTCCAACGTCCGAGATCTGGACCGACGGACCGCCGACTTGGCGGAAAGCCGGAGTAAGTCACTATTTTCTTTCTCTGCGAGGGCGCGATAGCGCACCCACGGGCTGTAGTCCCCGACTGGCTGGAGGTGGCGGCCGGCCGCCTCAAGGCTTGGAAGGGTTCCTCGGCCCGAGCTGGAGCACGCCGGGCCTTGGAATTCGTCAAGGCGTGGTATCCTGGGCTAAATCTAGCCCAGCTGACCACCTTTCGGCAGGAGGCCCAAGAGGAGTTGGTGGCCGTGGAGCGTGACCTTGTCAGACGGGCGGCGGCGATTGCCGATTACACCGACACCGGCATCTTCGTTCCTGAGCTGGCTGAGGATGGTGCCGAGGCACCACCAGGGTGGT